TCATGTCTTCTGACGGCCGCGTTGTGTTCCGTTATTCGTGTGCACATTCTCCTGCCAGTTTGTCCGACGTAGAATTTGTTGCAGTTGTTGCAGTTGAGTTGGTATATCACATTGTTCTTCTTGGTTTTGTCCGGGTTGTACTTCGGTCTAGAGATTAATTTCCTCAGGGTGGCATATCGCACTACTGATGTCACCTCGATTGATCATGAAACGTTTGCAATCAAATTGCCCAGCTCAGCGAACAAGCCAACGACCACTCTATCACTCTTTATTCCCTTCGCTGCATAAGTAGCTAGCAGTGAGTCTCGGTTCATACATGGTGCAGCGGATCAGCAACATTGGCCTATTCACAGCCGACACTTAATATTTGTTCAACAAGATAAGTAGCTTATGGTTTGAAAATTATCATTTCTTTGGTTGGGATAGGTTGCTGAAATTTGAATAAAGGGTTTGACTTGCCATTTTGGAGAACATTAGCAGTTGAGCAGAAGACAGCCCGTGTTTTCCTCCCAATCTTACGGAAGCCTTATTTGTTTTGTCCTTGAAGCTCCTATCGCCGCAATGCTCGTTCGCATTCGCTGCTGTCTCAAATTTACTTTCACATAACCTGAGTACTACGGATCACTAACTGGGTATTCTGGTGTAACGGTGATACTACTGATGAAGGACATGCGAGCAGTATGTTTTCTCGTAAATCCGCTTTGCGTCTCTTAAAGAGTGAGATCTATTACGGAATTCATGGGGTCACTCTGTAGCATTTGCTTGCAATTGAGTAACAGTCAATGAATATCCAGGAAAGTTCAGAAAATCGCTTTCAAGGGGAAGATGGATATTCATTTCTGCAAAAAAGATGCATATGGGAGTTTTGCTCACCTGCCCAATAGTCTGTAACTGTTCAGTTGGCGTTTCCTAATAAATGACTCCGCAGCGAAGGCCTTCTTCCTCTCACCGGTAGCTTTGGAATAACTCCCGTTTCATTCTCTCGGAACTACAACTGACGTTCAAAAGAGCGCGCATGCGGTATAGTCCATTGCGTACGGGTGTTTATCAACGTAGTTCGATGTGACTGGGCAATCCGGACACGGAAGCCGGCCCACCACGACCATTGGGTTATTCGTTTAGCCGTTTGGTTACGAAATTGTAACGTTCGCTTCGGTCTAGAGATTAATTTCCTCAGGGTGGCATATCGCACTACTGATGTCACCTCGATTGATCATGAAACGTTTGCAATCAAATTGCCCAGCTCAGCGAACAAGCCAACGACCACTCTATCACTCTTTATTCCCTTCGCTGCATAAGTAGCTAGCAGTGAGTCTCGGTTCATACATGGTGCAGCGGATCAGCAACATTGGCCTATTCACAGCCGACACTTAATATTTGTTCAACAAGATAAGTAGCTTATGGTTTGAAAATTATCATTTCTTTGGTTGGGATAGGTTGCTGAAATTTGAATAAAGGGTTTGACTTGCCATTTTGGAGAACATTAGCAGTTGAGCAGAAGACAGCCCGTGTTTTCCTCCCAATCTTACGGAAGCCTTATTTGTTTTGTCCTTGAAGCTCCTATCGCCGCAATGCTCGTTCGCATTCGCTGCTGTCTCAAATTTACTTTCACATAACCTGAGTACTACGGATCACTAACTGGGTATTCTGGTGTAACGGTGATACTACTGATGAAGGACATGCGAGCAGTATGTTTTCTCGTAAATCCGCTTTGCGTCTCTTAAAGAGTGAGATCTATTACGGAATTCATGGGGTCACTCTGTAGCATTTGCTTGCAATTGAGTAACAGTCAATGAATATCCAGGAAAGTTCAGAAAATCGCTTTCAAGGGGAAGATGGATATTCATTTCTGCAAAAAAGATGCATATGGGAGTTTTGCTCACCTGCCCAATAGTCTGTAACTGTTCAGTTGGCGTTTCCTAATAAATGACTCCGCAGCGAAGGCCTTCTTCCTCTCACCGGTAGCTTTGGAATAACTCCCGTTTCATTCTCTCGGAACTACAACTGACGTTCAAAAGAGCGCGCATGCGGTATAGTCCATTGCGTACGGGTGTTTATCAACGTAGTTCGATGTGACTGGGCAATCCGGACACGGAAGCCGGCCCACCACGACCATTGGGTTATTCGTTTAGCCGTTTGGCTACGAAATTTTAACGTTCGGTTGAGGCTAGACGATAAGCTGGACATAGTGTACTGATACAGAGGATCTCAATGCTCTTAATTGGCGGGAACTGCCAGGAGAACTGTTCAGTTACTGTTTATTTGGTACGGAACTGTCACTTCAAATTTCAACCCATCAGTGGGGTTTTGTAGTGTGGCCTGACTAGGCACCGAGAGTCGGCACCATTCGCTCACCCCCCCCCCCCCTCACGACAAAGTGGGTACTTTTACTAACGGGGTTAACAGACGATGCATTTCTGAGTCGACGGTTTCCCACCTCCATATCTACTCTTTGCTGACTCAACCCGGATAATTTCCCATGCTCACGATCTAAATACAGTCTTGTAAACCACCATAAACTGGGATAATCTGGTTGCTAGCCATGCCAGCATAGCTGAGACAGTCAATGCACAAATTTTGAGCATTTTGCTTCAAAGAATGTCTAACCTATGACAATCTTTTCGCCAAGTGTATGTAGCCTTCCCCTTTGAAGAAGTTATACCGAGATAATTTTTGCAGACAGGAGGTATCAGTCCTCGCATCGCTGTAACTGGTTTACTACACATCCAATATGTTCAGCGACTATTCAGCAGACCAATACTGGGAATTTCAAAGGCTACCTACTACTTACCATTACCAGGCTTGTTGCTTTTCTGTCACAATACCGATATCATTATTTCAGCCTAACAGACTTCCAACGTGCCTTTTCCCACCATGCATTCAGTGACATCCACGAGGCCCGAGTGCGAATAGTCGAGTTGACAAGAATGCTGCAGGCAAAGGATACTGCTCTACGTCAGAGGGAGGTATGTAAATTCATCTCGTTCCGTCATGCTTGTGTTGCCGTATCTTTCCCGATGCAACACTCACGGTCGTTGCACTTTAGTCACGTGCCTTGATTAGTACTTGTAGTCTCGGTAACGCGTGTAGACAAAGAGTGGTGTATTTTCGAGCGATTCGAATACTGTTCGCGTATGTCCTGAAACTAGGTCATTTACTCTTTTTTTTTGCTTTCCCACTTTCTATAATTTATTAGATGATTGAAAGTTGTGTTCATAGCATAGTGTATTGCAAGTTTTTACTGTCACTTATACGCCTAACTTACTCGCCTTACGATCCCGTCTGAACTAGCGCGTGCAGTTTTTTTGAAAACGAATGCGGAATCCTAAAGAGGACGGCTGTTTTTTAGGTTAGGATTATGCCATTTGCAAAGTGAAAGTTTCAGACATAGTGGGACGCTTTGTAGATATAAATTTTTCACTAATTGGCACAGATGTACTGGTCAATGCAAACGTATTATAAAGACAAATCGGTCGGTGATTAGGTTCCATTATCCAAAGCAGTCGAACATG